TACCTTACACAAATAACTGTGACGCTGAGGTTTGCTGAGTTTATCTTTTTTCTTTTTTGGAAATCATTTGTCTTCCGTTCCCCGGGCCAAGCCTCCCTCCCCTCGGCCACGTTGACACCTCCCTGGCCGGAGCTCTCTCTGCGCCTAAACTAAGTGGCTGTCTGATGCCGGGGCGAAGCCTGCCGGCTGCGAGGCCCCAGAGACCTAATAAACAGGCATCTAATGGGGTCCCCGGGCGACTGACGGGGGCCTCACATTAAAATAACTAGCCAGAGAGATGGTGCAGAAATGAGGCCCCGGAGAGGAGGAGGAGGAGGAGGAGGAACCACCTCTGCACTTTTTGAGGATCTGAGTCTGTGGCTTAATGACTTTTTTTTCCTTGTTGCTCTCTGTAGCCCGATTTGCACCTTTAGTGTATTTCAACCCAGTCTCACAGCGAGACGTGTAATAGCTACGTTGTGGAACGTGGTATAACGCTTTATCTCCAAAATTGTGACAATACTACGTTTTATTTTGGCCCATTCATTTACATTGGCTTGCAACTACTAGAAACTAATAAACGGAAGATCTTCTACATTCTCTGACAGAATATTCTGAAATTAATTATACATACCTTTCACTAGAAATGCCATCGAAATGCATGCAAATGCTTTCTTAAAATATTGTGTTTTCGCACATAATAGACCGACAGTCCGCCATTTTCATGTTCACACAACGTAGCTATTGCACGTTTTGCTGTGTGACTGGGTTGTGTATTTTCATTGTCGGGTCTGTAGCTGTGTGGCACCAAGGAGAGACAACAAATTCACACCAAACAAATGGTCAATTGTGCCAAAGACTGCATGCAAGAGTATCATGAGTTGCATTATGTTCACTGACTATTTATTATGTTCACTGACATTACGTTGTCTTTTAGTTCAACTTGTAAGACGTGTATTTCTAAAGGCCATTTGTATTGGCTTCTCAAGAGCCAGCTTCACTCTTCGAGGTAACTGGTGGAAGTTTAGAAAGTTAAAGTCCATATCGTCAACATATTAAGACCTCCAGCGAAGCGCCATTTGGGGCATGTTAGCCTTGATTGACAGGTATCTCAGATGTAAACTCTCAATCCCCGGGAGGCTGTGGTTTGTTTGCTTGGACCACCTGAACCCTTTACCACGTAGTATGTTGGTGAAGGCACAGACCTTGCGTCCGTCTACACAAAAGTAAGACAATGCCTCCAGTAACAAGCACATGGGCCATTTCCACAAACACACTTTAAGTGACTTTTTCTGTCAGCATTAAGACGTCACTTTACACAGATACGGAGCAAACAAGTGTCACAGACAAACATGGGGATGTGGCACTTTGACTTCTCCCGCTTTCTTTTCCTGTTAGAACGCGAGTAGAGAAGCCGGGCTTAAACACCTAACTGCTACCAGACGACCACCTCCAGCCCTGTCATTTCCTCTATGGCGCGGCCTCCGTGCACTTGTTTCTATACGGCGTGCGCGGCCGTCTGTGGGTCTGCACGCCGGAGCTCCTCTGTCAGCTCCGACACTCCGCAATCAGTTCTGACACACTGAGGGCTCGGCTGACAGCTGGGAAGAGAAGGTCACACAGTCACCTACTTTTAACGAAGGATATGCACAGCTCCTTTGACAGGCCCGCACAGGACGCACGCATAAACACACACACACACACACCCTCGTACACACAGTCGGAAGGCGGAGCGGGAGAATTTTGCAGACGGGGCCTTTCCTCGCGCCTGTGCAATCGCAGACGCAATTATCTATTAAAATTTCATCCTTTCCATCTCAGAATGTTTAGGGAAAGATTATAACTGCTGGGGAGGTAATTAAGCCTTCAAATGGTGAATTGAGTTGTGAATACAGAGTGCTCTGTGTGTGTGTGTGTGTGTGTGTGTGTGTGTGTGTGTGTGTGTGTGTGTGTGTGTGTGTGTGTGTGTGTGTGTGTGTGTGTGTGTGTGTGTGTTTGGCCCACCTTAAGGCTCTATGGTGCAGGACTAAAGAAGCACTCTATTGGTTCGGGGGGAGTTGTAGTAATTGCAGGGATAAATAGAAGTTTTACAATTACATTTCATCAGTAACTTCTTCATTAGATGGTACAAGATTAGCTTCTGCCTGCTCGTCGATTACACTTAAAAGACCTTCTGGTGCCTTGAACTGTAGCGAAAGTCACCCTGAACTCGCCGCTCGGCTCAAGATGTTGTCAGACTGTGTTTCGAGCATCAATCCAAATATGAGCGGAGCTTTTTTTGCAGACAGATACGGAGGCAAAGCCCCCGTCCTTCAGAGCTTCAGGAAGGGCACCCTCTGAGATCTCTCGACTGGCTGTTGACTCCCCCCACACCCCTCTTCTTCCTCCCTTAACCCACCCTTCTCTGTCTCCTCAGCTCTCTTTGATGCTGCAAGCGAAGAGACGCAGGATTTTCAGCCTTTTTAAAGATTCAAACAAAGTCTCTGGGTTTAGAGGAGAGATGAAAACGTGCTGCGGGCCGGCCCCGCCTGGGGGGGGGGTTGGTGGTTCAGGCTGGTTCTGTTCGAGTAGCAACCGGGGTCCGTTTCCTATGACGGAGTCGTCCAGCCACGCAACATAAGAAACACGGGCCCACTAATTGCTACTTTCTCACTTGTGTGGTAATGATTATGGACGTCCAAAGGGCGTGTTGGGGGTCGGGGTCTGCTTGTTTTTCTCTGCCTCCGTTGACACACGTATTGATCAAAGAGGAACCCTTGTAAACGATAAAGCAGCTGGGGTCATCAGCGATTCCTTAACAGACAAACGGCACTCTGACTGACTGATGGAAGCCGAGGAGCCATTTCGCTCCCCTTTGTAAGCAGCCGGGTCTTTTAGAGATTAATCAAAGTCAGTCAACGGGGCAGTCTAGCCATAAGCTGTAATCAATAGAGGCAGTCAGTGTAAGAAATTTATTTTGCAGTATGTCTGGACAAACTCCCTTTGCGGACACATACAGGGCCGTTGAACCCAAGCACTCGTCTTTGTACATCCCCCCCCTCCCCCACCCTCCCTTTCTTCTCTCCTTTCTCCAGTCCGTCGGCTCATCCACAGCGGCTCTCTCAATGAAAAATCGCCCTGCCCTTTTCAGTCTATTTATCTTCCGCAAATGACTTAAAAGAGGAATAACACGGTCACATCCAGCCAATCCATATCCAACCCCCCCCCCCCACCACCACCACCACCACCACCAACACCACCACCAACACCACCACCACCACCGCCCACCCCAGTGATGAATCGCCCTCCTCGGCCCGGCGGAGTCACGCGTGAACCGATCAGGTGGCCGTAGCGTTGTATCCGGGGAGATCCTAGAGGTTAATAACATTCCACATGATTACCCACAACCCCCTGGGGAGGGGGGGGGGGGGGGGGGGGGTCCCACACTGTAAACAACAATCACTGCTTCACAGCAGCATTCGCGCTGACCGCTCAGCTGAAAGGCCGCTTCGCTGTAGCTCATCTCTCCCACGGGGACGGAGGGAGGGGCGGAAAAGAAAAAGACTCCAGTGGACCCCAACACCTACCGGAAGGGTTATTCGTCTTTTCATGGCAGCGCAGTAGTGAGACTGAGACCCCCCCCCCCCCCCCCCCCCCCCTGACCCCCCCCCCCTCTGAAAACAAAGCATTTTAATAAATGCAACCTTTTCGATGAGATGGGCTCTCCTCATGATGTTGATGGTGTCCGTGGGCGTAGTGCTTCATGCTGAGTAGGGTTATGTCACCTTGTCGTTAGCTGCGCTAGGATTACATGTTTATCTCATTCTCGCAAAAACAAGGAGTGACTCAGCCCCTCCCCCACCACCACTTCCTGTCCATCGTAGGACTCCACAGATATCCTCAATAGCTCTTCTCCCAACACCATTCTGGAAGGCACTTTTATTTGCAAGGTAAAAATGATCTCATTCAACTGGGGTATCCTTTCACTTTTCCTCTACCACACACTAAACGAATGGGTCAAATGCATTGGGTTCCTTTTTTTAATATTTGCTGGGCACCAAAGGCTTGCAGTCAAAAAAGGAAAGAGACATTTTGTTTTTTGATGGTGTTGCATGGAATTTTTGACTGCAATTTCATCATCAGTCAGAAGGAACTGCAGAGAGAGAGACAGTCCTCTAAAGGACCAGTTGCTATTTATCTGCAACACATTAATCTCAGATCTGCCTTTTGTTTTGGCAAAAGACATATGATGCAACTTTGAGAAGATTGGAATGCCGTGTGCTGACTTCATTCCACGTGTTTATGACGCATATGTACCGTATGCTCGGGTCTGCACATATTTGAGTGTGTGTTTCTGTGTGGATGCATCTGTTTGATCTTCGACGTTAAAACACAAAGAAGCGCTGTACTGTATAGCAGCCCACGGGACGCAACAGAAATAGATGGCATTCATGCGCTCTGTATTCCACCACCACCGCCACCCTTCAACCCCCCCCCTCCCCCAATCCCCCCTACACGCAAACACACATCCATCACCACCACTTACTTCCTCGCCGACTCGCACACACACTCCCACTTCCCTTTCTCTCTCTCTCTCTCTCTCTCTCTCTCTCATTATATCATGTGGGCATGAACCAAAATAAAACGGTGAATAATGGTTGGATTGGAAAAGCTGCACAAAAGGCAGGCAGATATTCTCTTTCCAGCACGTTGTGAAATGGATGGGTATCCGGCCGATGCGAGATAAAACAAAACCCAATGCTGTCATTTGCAACAAAATAGGAACACGCCTGCGGGGATGTGTGTGTATATTTGAGGATTTCAGTATGAGATATTGAGCCATGAGTGAGTCTTGCATCCTTACATCACTCCAGATGACTTCACCGGGGCCTCTGACACCAACCTGGACACACACACACACACACACACACACACACACCCTCCCCAAAACCCACCTCCGTGCGCTGCTTTATGTTGTAGAACCAGTTCACAAAACTCAATAGAGGGCTGTCCACACAAAAAACAATAACAAAAACACTCACGGAGGTTTGTGGCCCTGGAAACATAGTGCTGCGTGTGCATCCCAAGGGCCTCCTCCCCGCGATACTGCTCACCTGGACACCCGCCCTGCAGCACGCTGGCGACAGCCCTGTCGGACAGGGGAGAGAGAGAGAGGCACAGAGGCTGTGAGGGACGCACACATAACATGGCTAATTGAAATATTATATATCCGGCTGCACAGAATCTTTTTTTGTATGTAAGAAACTGTGATTTAGAGCAAAAAGAAAAGTGATTCCCTGTGATGAATGAGAAATGTCTAGTTTCAACGGTGCTGTTTCTGGAGCACATGACACACTCTCGCCTGTATTAAATGACACCGTGAAAGTGTAGAAAAGTGTTTTCACTTATCTACAGTCACACACAAAGGAGCGCGATGCCGCCTTCACTCTAGTGAGAGAAAACCGCCCCCGCCTGACGAGGGAAGAGTAGGCAGCTCACGTAATGTTATTCTATACCACAGCGGATGATGGACACACACACACACACACTTATGAAAATGAATACAGACTATGTCCTGAGATGCTTTGGTTGCCACGCAACCACATCCTGTGTGAGAGACATTAAATGCATGATGCATTATTTCATAATTGATTCTTATACTTGTGATGTGCACATGGGCAGATAAGGAAACGAGCGAGACGTTGCGCGCTCCGGATCTCTGCGTGCGTAGGCTACTACTGCAAGTCTCTTTGTAAACAAGCGCACTGAGAGAGAGAGAGAGAGAGAGAGAGAGAGAGAGAGAGAGAGAGAGAGAGAGAGAGAGAGAGAGAGAGAGAGGTTTACCTGGTCATGTTCTCTCTCTGAGGCCGGTGCGCCTTCTCCAGCCCTAATTTGGTGAAAATCCCCACGAGGGCCATGATGGCCACTACTCCACATATGATGTAAACAATTAAGTTCGTCTTGTCTTTTGTGCTGTCGGCGATCTTGCTGATTTTTTTGTAGGGCGTCTGTCCGGTCTTCATCCACACCGGGGTGTCGTAATTCTTACAGGTGCTCTGATCCAGCCGCGAGTGCTTGAGGGAGCAGCAGAATCGGAAGCCACAGGTGCCGCAGCAGTACAGATAGTCGCTCGTCTTGCAGATAAACGGCGGGTCCCACTGGCCCATCACGTCGTAGTAACCCCGGCACTTGTCCTCCGTGTGCGGGGTCTCCTCCGACAAGCTTTCCTCCTCCCTGGAGCCGTTGGAGGTGGCGATCATGACGAATCCGCCGAGCAGTCCCGGCTCCCCGTCCGCCTTGCACACGAGAGCCATAAGTTTGAGTAACAAGAAGCCGAGCAGAAAGTATTTCCCTTTCATCGTGCTTCCTCCGCCGTTCAACTTCACGCAGACACGAAAAGACTTGGAGAGAGGGGAAAGGGCGCGCGGTCATGATATGCTGAAAAGTCCAGAAACACGCATCCAAAAAGCAACGCACCGTCATCCGCGCCGACGGACATCTTCATTACCACATCATCATCCACAAGAGAGAGGCGCAACGGGCAGAACAAAATCGGTCTCCGTGAAATGAACTTGATGTAAACTAACAGCGCTCCGACGCGCGCTTTCCGCTGCGCGTTTGTTGGTCTCTCACTGAGGCGTTTGCAGGCGCAGATTTTTTTGGCGTTTTGAGGAGTGCATCGCTTTGCGTATCCTTCGGGTGCGCTCTTACGCACGGGAGCAGGCGGAGACACGAGCCGCGCAGAGGACGGGAGCGCAGTGAGCGAATGGAGGAGGCGAGATAGTCTGGTGCGCAAAAGGAGAGGAGGAGGAGAACATGGGGAGGGAGTGAGACTGTGGAGAGAGACACACAGAGGGAGAGAGAGAGAGAGAGAGGAGGAGAGAGATACAGAGGGAGAGAGACAAAGATATATACTTTATTGTTGAATATAATTAAGATAAAAGGATAGGCGCTTCTCTCTTGAAGTTTGCCGTCGAGGAAAGGTGTTCACCCCCTTTCCCCCCTTGTTTAATCCATTTTATTTATTTTCCGTATAGTGGGTTGCCGTTGTTTTCACGAGTGGCTTAATGTGCTGAGAGTGTGCCTGACATGGCTTCTAAATCAGGGAATACATTTTCAAAAAAGACCCCTTCAACAAAGATGTGGCCCCATTTCGCACTGGATCCCTTCTGAAAGGTTGTAGGCCGTTTTTAAGATGGAAAAGAGAGAGCACGTCAAATGTGCGAAAAACGCCTCTCCCATAACTAATATTTCAAAAGAGAAACATGTTTGGCTTTCTAAATCGAACTGAAGGGAATAATTTTCTTCCTGCAGAAATAAGTTGAAGTTGCTAAAAAACCTCCATGTTATTTGTATGCTTTGGATGAAATCGAATCCCGAAAGTTAACTCTCATTCAAATGCTGAAAATAATTAAGCAACCGGAAAAGCAGTTTGTCCAGTAAGATGAGAAAAATACTGATGGGAGTATCCTTCCGACAGTGGGACCACCTCTGTCCATGGTGCTGAACGACCCCAAGGTCCTTCCCCGAAACCTGTCACACTAAATGCAAAAAAAGTATTAGGACTATTAGATGTTCAGTCTAGTTTCTGCTACATCTGCTGACGAAAAGAAATGCATTTATAATGCAAAAAAAAACAAAATGCCCCAGGCGTAAAAGTCTAGATGTTTGTTTTCGTAAGGGCATGTTGTTCGAGCGGACACACGCTCCTTACTGTGTAAAGACCGCTGCGGCCGCACTGGGGGCCGCTGCAGCGAGGAGGCTCACACACTCGCCAGCAGGCATGTGTAGTCGATCCCCGATTAGTCACCGGAGGGATCGAGCCGTAGAGAGACCGCCGGGGCGACCGATCACTCACGCAAACAACCTCACGCCGTCCGCCTCCGCAGGCCCCCGCAGACGGGCTCACGAGTAGCGAACCGGTCAGACGGCTCTTTCACCTTTGGATGTCATGGCTAAGAGCGAGGACCTCTTTCTCAGAGCCAAACATCGGACCTTCAGCGGACTGACCGAAGGTAGCCCGCCGGTTAGCCACCGCCGGGCGCGCGCCGGCTAACGCCGCCTCCAACTCGGCCGTTCCACAAGTGGTTGTCGCGCGCTGCGGGGGACAGTCACGGCGGAGCGACGGCAGCCGCCGGCGGGCCGCTGCGTAGCGCAGGGGTCGGTAACCGGGACACGGTTGTCCGCCGTAGCGAGGCTAGCATGCTAGCTTTCTTTCTTGCTTTTCTCTAAAAAAGACGGCGTATTAGCACCGTTGCCTGTTTAGGCAGGATTAATTAGTTCAATTAAATCAGGCGCAGGACGACAAAGGTCGGCCTTGCTGTTGTTTACGAGGAGTTGTTGTTGTCTAGAAGTTTAGTAGCTTGTTGTTAACGGTCACACAAAACGACCGTTAGGTGTTGGTGGTGTATTTAGAGTGGGCTCACGTTATTATTTCACACTTTTGATGAAATAAGACACGTTTGCGTTGGTCTCTAATGAAGACTTGTCAACGTGTCCTCACGTTTATCGAAGGAGTTGCGGTTAAACTGGTTTAAAGGGCCTGACCTCATTTGAGTCAATTGAATTAGTGTAAAAAACCCCGCGTCATTACTAAAGTGGTCCGTCGCTGGAGTCCACAGTAATCGCACTAACATGTTCATTTACGTGCTTTCAGCCTTTTGCTGCCTGTTTATTTTCTTCAGCACCGGCAGGAGGAAACCGGTTAGGTTAAAGGAACTCCAGGGAAGACATTTAAAATGTTCACAATCGTATTATTCTCTGCAAAAGCCAGCCTCCCCCCAGTGTGCCTTCATCTCATATGATGATTCATTTTGTTTTGGAGGGCACAATCCGCCACCTGAGAAATCTGAGCAATTTTCTGTTTGAAGTTGTTGCTCAACCTGCCTCGCATCTCCTGTCGCGGGAGCCTCTGCGGCTGCTGCGTGTCCGTGTGTCTTTTGTAATGTGTTTTTTCATTTGTCTGTGAAATATTTCACACCGCAGGCTTCAGAGTGAGAGAGAGAGAGAGACGCTGTGCTGTGGAGTCCGCCCGGTGACAAAAGGCCAGTAGGATCTGAGTGAGTGGGGACGGATCGAGACCCACGCGCACTGTGGTGTACAAGCTCGTATCGTGTAAAATGTGTGACTTTATGGTCACCTGCAAGAGTTTAAGACTCGCTGACGAGAGCTTTCGGGATCTGGTCTGCCTTCCCTTAGTAGATGCTGACTGAAGGAATCTTAACTTTATGCTTCAGTGGTCACAGCAGCTGTTGTTTAAATGCATCCTCGGTCCTCGCCGCGCAGGTATCAGTTGAGATCGAAGCCCGGCCAGTTTTACACGGAATGCCCGCGAGTAATCGCGTTGACGAGACAATGACGACAATCGACGAGGTAGAATGTCTTTCCCCCACGTGGGGATCATTGTTATCTTTGTTTTACTCGCCTCGGATGGGAGACACACGGAGGATGCTGAGCAGCTCCTCGTCCCCCCCTCCCACGCACCACGCCCCCCCCCCCCCCCGTGGTGATGGGGTTTGATCAGAGAGCAGATGCGGCACACGCCGCTTCCCGCATCCTCCGGGAAACTATAAACGAGTGAAGCGGGAACCCTTCACACCTTCTCTTTGCATCAGGTCCATTCGCGGGCAACAAAGAGGCTCCACTCCACAGACGCTGCGTTTTCTTGTGTGTCCTTTGTGTCAAAACCGTGTCATTACCGTCTGCCAGTCGAAGCGTCTGCTTCCCTTCTGTACGCGGAGAGCCCGGGAAACGGTTAGCCCTTTTTTAATGAATATTTGAGAGGGATCGGATCGCGGGGACCTTCTGTTACGCAAGTCCGGGATTATGTAAAACACTTGTTCTCCGCCGTGCTCGCTCTAACATGTAGCTTTGTTAATTATTTAGCAGAGGTTCCTGATGGAGTGAGCCTGTGCATGTTTAACAGAAGGCCGTACATGTTCATTCCAGTTTCTGAGGGGATGTCTTTAAGTGTCTGGCTTTTCCCAAAGATATTCAGTTCAATCAATTCAATCTGATGTAGAAAGAAAAAGAGGGAATCGCAAATTTGACACTGAGAATGATTTGATTATTTGGTAATAGTTTAAAAATAGGGGTTAATTTCCCTCTGTACGTAAATGTAAATCTCCATTGAAATGGTCTGTGCGCACAAAGCGCTCTACCTGTAAAGAGGCACGTCTATCTAGTTTGCTCATTCGTGTCTCTGCTGAATGCGTTCTTGCCTCTCCTTCAGATGCGGAGCGGGAGTGGAAGGGGCCGTTTTTCTTCATCCAGGCCGCCGACCCCCAGCTGGGGCTGATGAAGGCCTGGAGGGACGGCGACTGCGACGGCGGAGGGGACGAGTGGGGCGAGGAGGTGGAGCTCACCCAGCGGGCCGTGGAGGCCTGCAACCAGATGAGGCCCAGGCCCAGGTTCCTAGTGCTTTGTGGCGACCTGGTCCACGCCATGCCAGGTGGGGGCAGAGCGCATAAACGCATGCATGTTGTACTGCCGGCTTATTTTTCAAGTGCCCTCATCATTTTAAGTGCTGACTAAAAATACATGTTATTCACTCAAAAACTTCTCTAAAATGTTGCGGTTTTCAAGAAGCTCCTGAGGGGGCTTCGCTACCATCTCTCTAAATAAAGAGGTTTTTGTCGTGTCTATGCAACTACTTATCAGTTAAATAATCAGGCTCACACGGAGGTTTAGTTCAGCCGCGAGACACCGCCTTGTTTATTTGAGGTTCTGCACGCAATGTATACATGCGCATGGCGAACAACCAATAGGAATTGAAATGCGCAGGGGCGTGCTTACGCATAAAGAAGCAGATTCCTAATAAACACTACAGTTTTCACTGTATTTATTTCTCTTTCTGAGTCTTTAAAGAGTGAAGATTGTTTTGTCGTGCTCTTTGGAAGTACATTGGTTTTCTTTCTTTTTTCGTTCAACATTCAACTTCTCAGAGCTAAGGCTGTGCGGAATGGCCAACATTCATATCACGGTATTTAGAAAGATTCTGACGGTATTCCAGTATATAGAAGTAATGTTTTTTTCAAGTCAACACATTAATTCATTGAGCCCGAAAAGGACCGCCCGCTACCCAAACAGCTGTTCACGGCTCGCTGGCCGGCGAGTTAGCTTGTTAAGATAAGTGTTAATTTCGTCGCCGAAAATTTTTCGTTACGAACCTTTTTTCCATGACTAACACGTGACGAAAACGATCTTAAATAATAAAAACTATGACTAAATCTATTCTAACTTTCGTACGCTCGATGCGAGTTTGAATGTGGCTTCGTTAGTTTAGCTCAGCTGTCTCGGTTCAGCTGCCTGTTAGCGGGCTGAAGCCGCGCTGCTTCACAGAAACATGAAGAGCCGTTTAAAGACTGTCGGACCTTTCTGCTCTGTTCTCTGGCGACGGCAGGCAGCGTTTCCTCGGTGGATGAGACGCTCCGTCACAAACACGTCTAACGTAATAAACTCATTGCAGGTTCTGAAGCCAAGAAAATAATGTATTGCACCGATTGTAGGACGTTAAGGTCTCTTTTGTTGGGACAGTGGAAACAATAAAGGACCATCAAGTTTCCGGTGGCCGTGTCAAAAGCATTGCAAGTAAACAGACAAAGACAACAAAGTGTTGCGTTTAGGTCCCTTAAGTTGTTACACCTTTGCCAATTTGTTAAATTTCCTTGCAAATAAATGCTTTTCATGTAATGATTTTTCACATGTCATCTATATTAGCTCACACAAACACTTTGTTCTTGGCCCGGCTCCTCCGTCAAATTTTACAACCCATTGTGGCCCGCGAGTCAAAAGGTTTGCCGACCCTCCTATAGACCTGTCCTAGGAGGGACATCTGATGGACAACCAAGTACTGCAAGCTACACTATTATGCAGTTATAGACACAACACAGGGGGTCCCTGGGCCTGAGAAGGGAAGAAAAGGAGTTTAATATGGCTATTAAATGTGACTAAAACTAGACTAAAACAATTACATTTTAGTCTAGTTTTCGTCGACGAAACCTAGACTAAAACTAAGAAGGATTAAAATGACTAAATGTGACTAAAACTAATAAGCATTTTTCGTCTGAAGACTAAGACTAAATAAAAAAAACCTGCCAAACTTAACACTGGTTAACATGTTAGCGTGTTACCTTGTTGATAAGCACGACTCAATCTCAAGACACATAAGACAAGTACATGGCAATCCTAGCAGCCACAACAGGCTAGCACGCTCACCAGCTAACAAGCTAACTGGCCGGACAGTTACGAGCAAGGTGGCCAGCGAGCGGCGGCGGGGTCAATGAATCTTTCTAAATACCGTGGTAGGGGTATTTGCCCACACCTATGAGAAATTAATACCGTAAGGAGATGTTAGCGGTGTACCGCCCCGCATTACTCCGAGCTATGAATGTATGCTGAGTGGTGTGAAGAAGCGACAAGCTACAGGCATCAGCCACTGTAGCCACCAATTACCCGCCAAACGTCGGGAGACACAATGCGACCCACGGACGCTGGCGGAGTTTAAACTCTGCTCGCCTTTTTTAGTGCGACCACATGACACAGCAGCGGTCCCACGGGCGCCATCGCACAGCATCTGGTGCGTCGCGCTGGCTTCCGCGCTGGTCTCAAAGTGTGTGCCAAAGGACTCTCCCGAATCACAAGAGAGCGCGCAAACCATTCAGGGAGGCGAGCTGGGACGTCACGCCGTCTCACCGACCGACTTGATTTATGCCTCCTTTGTGTTCAGCGCTTCCAAAAAGCGGCGCGTTGACAGATTCAGCGCCCCAAAACTGACAGATCAAAGGGTGGTTGAGAGCAACGTTCGGAATGATCAACAACCACCAGCCGAACCCTTTAAAGTGATTGATTCCATCAGCCTTCAAACCAATGTCATATCTTTTTATTTTCTCTCTCACACCTGCTGACTTTTCTAGCTGTGTGTGTGTGTGTGTGTGTGTGCGTGTGCGTGTGCGTGTGCATGTGAACATAAGAGTTGTTCTTACTCAGATAATGAGGCCGCGTCCTGCTATCGTACACACAACACAGAGTTTTAATACGACCGTGAGCTTTGATCAGTCGGTCTGCTGTGAACATAAAGGGAAGTGAAACTTTATCTGGAGAATTTGAATCCATGATGTAGATCAAGGCACAGACATTAAAGGAACAGTTGGTTGGATCTGCTGGCAAATTGCAATCAACTAAATTCCCTCCAGTTGTGGAGCGACGGCGGCAGGCGGTCCGGCGGCTGACGGGCGTGTCAGAGAACCACGGCGGCCTTCAAGACTCTCGATGAGGTCATTGTTTAGAGTGTCTCCTCTGGGTTACCCTGGAAACAGGGCAGTGCAAAACCACTCCTGCGCCAACGTGGACATGGCTCTAATGGGAGTTCCACACGATGCGCCGCGTCTCCGTATCGCTGTCCTCCAGACACGCTGTTCCATCGCAGGAACACGGAGCTATAAATCCACTAAACCGACGCTCACTGGTGCACCGCGAGCTGAAGAGCGCACGGCCGACCAACCGCCGCCGTTGCTGAGGGCTCCCGCTCACTAGTGGCCTTTGCGAGGTGGAATATCATTCCGTTTTAGACTGCTATCTGAGGTGTATTGGTGGTTCACCTGCCTGACGCGAGATGACTCTCCGATTAGGCGGGAAAGCTGCTCTGAAAGGAGCTATTATGTAAATGCTAAATGGATTTGTCATAATGGCAGAGTGTGACAAGAATGTTTCTGACTGAAACCATTCAAATGTCACAGCCTGTCACCTTTTCTCTGTCGCATAGGCAACCGGTGTAATCTGACTCTCATTGTGCGAGGAGGCTGTCATTATTATTTATTTATTTTTCGCCCCGGGCAGAATCGTTTATTTGTGACCCCGGTGCAGCTGGTCGCTGAGGCTTTTTTTTGGTTTGTTTTTGTGACGGCACGCAGAACGAATGCATGTCGGCACCTCTGGGAGGAGCAGAGGGCACTGGACCAAAACACTTGTCAGAAAGGATGCGTACCGCAGACGTGTGTTGTTTTTCTTCTACCCAATTCCTATTTACGCATCTGGCTTTATGGAAAGCGTGAAAATAAAGTTTTGACTGCAACAGTCAAAGCTCCTCGTGCCGGAGACTCTCAGATATCGACAGAAGTCGAGGTTCTGAGAGAGTCCTGGTCTAATTAATGGACTGCGCGAAGAACTTTAGCTTTGGGAAGTCTTCCTCGTCAATGACCGACCTCTTGTGTCAGCGCGGCATAATGGCCCCCACAAAGCACCTAGATTCAATCATTTGTGAATAATTGGTGAGAGCGAGTACGCCGCTGTTTTCCCTCCATCGATTCACCGGATGCTTCCGCCGTCCAGCCAGACAAACAGATTGAGAGTGTCCTCACTGACGCGGGCGCGTAAAGCAAAACACGATGCCGCTGCTCACTTTCCCGCCTTGTTAGGAATGGACACGCTGCGCTCGATTGTGCTGCCCCTCGGTCTGCCGCCGTCTCTGAGACGCGATGGCGAATGGCGAGCTGTCGACATCGAGCCAAATGATTCCACCTGTGAATGAAGCCGTGTGTTGGGCTCGGGACAATGGCCTGGATTTGTCAGCAGAATGCGTTCGCTGTGCCGCTTGGCAGGCATTGGTGGCAAGCGGAAGCTTTCATTCAAAGTAATGAAGTGACTACAGCGCCGTCTGCGTGTTCCTCCGTGTCCAGCTGTCTGACTTAATAACAGGATAGGAGGGGGCGGGCGGGCGGGCGGGACCCACAGCACGGTTCATTTTTTTTTTTGCAGCTAAAAAGGACCAGAAGCTGCCAGCTGATGCAAACAACCTTGGCACGGCAATTGGGGAGCAGGGTGAGGGGCCTGCCTGGCCGCCTGACCTTGATGAATGGGCACAAAGAGAGAAGAGAAGTCAGCGGACTCTCTCTATTTCTCCCCCCCTTCCACCTCCTCACTTCAGCGTCCGTTTATGTGTTTGATTGGCTGGTGTTGGGGGAAAAAAACATGACTCGATTCTGATTCGGAGACGTCTTTCGCAAGAACATTTTGCGGTATGGGGTTGCACCATGTCCTCTGTAAATTGTCCTCTCGCTAGCTCTGCTTAGTCACAGGGCGACTCTCGCCTCCCGCTCCTCTTTTTTTGGGGGGGGTCATAACTACAGCCAATTTTAGCTCAACACTCATGCGGCCTCCCGCTATCATCTGAGAGCTCTGCCGTTGGCGTTCGAGTGTCCTCATCATCTCCACTGGCTGCACCGTTTAGGCCACAACATGGCTGCCATCCGTTCCTCCCGCGCCGCCATCCTCCCCCCTCTTATTAAGCCCCATTTCAAAGGTGGCGGGTGAGATCTGTTTCCCGCGCACGGCGGCGAGGAGCGCGAGGGAGGGGATTTTAAGCGGCGAGTCCCCGGGGACCCTTTAAGTGCCGCGGCGTCGGGCCTTGTTACTGTCAACCTCCCAACGCGACAGGTGGCGCGTGCCATCCTCATTACTCGCCACGTCCGTCACTCGCCTGGCAACCGGGCCGCCGCATCAGCAGGGAGGAAGGGACGAGATATTAGAGCCAGAGCCGCTACTTCCGTCTCCCGGCTGACATTTCCCCTTAAACTGTTTATTTACAGTACAGAATGAGAGGGTGGCGGCCAGGGGAAGCTGGCTGTCAACCGGCATTGTCAACACTGCTGCCTGTCGGCGACAGGAAACTGGCAACTGTATTTCTGTTCCCACGGATTCCGCTCCCTATCGCTCCTCTGCTGCCGTCTGTGTGCTCTCCTCAGCAAACAGCTGCGGTCTCGTGCCTCGTACCTTGTTTCCACATCCTTCATTGGCAAGTCTGACACCGCACACGCATTCATTTAGTCTTGGGACGTGAATTCCGTCTAACATGGCAGACTGAAAAAACGAACCCTGGTGGACTTGGAGGCTTGTATTTGCACTGCACGACAGCGGGCAGCGAGGTACCATCCCATCCCTCAAGCCTCAAACACACAGTAAAATTGGACTTTAAATAAAAAGTGGGTTTAAGAGGCTAGAGGGATGTGTTCTGTTACAGTAGATTATATGACCTCTGTAGTTTGAGTCTCAGTGTAAATCATACAGTAATGTGGTACCCTTAACTCTATTTATTGTTGCATGCATGATAATATCCCCAATAGTTTCCTGTTACAGTGAGTGAATATATATCCAGTTTTAGTGCTGAAATACAGCTATTTACATTAAAGGATTTGTTTCATACGTCCCGTTCTTGCCATACTTCATGCAACAATCTGTTTCTAGTGCTCTTGCACCACACAGTTCATCAGCGCTGATAGTGCACGCTAACAGATAAAGGATTAATGACACAGTGCATGCTTGGAATTCGGTCCAGCTACGTGATCTCAGTAGACCGCACGTCATGCAGCAAATGATAAAGCGTTCTTAACAACCGTAACTGCCTCAGCTTGGACTTGAACAATGACTAGTATACAGGGATTCCTGTAGAACTGCTGGCTGGCGTTTGCTTCCATAGATGTCCATCCTGTGTGACCTCATTCCAATTCCCCGTCTCCTCTCCAAAAACCCAGACAACTCCCAAGAGATGCCTTATCATCTCAAGGACTTCCTTCAATCTCCTCATTCACTTATTTTCAAAGCTGACAAATGAAGAGGATAAAGAGGAGGATGGGGGGGGGAGATGGAGAGCTGATTAGATTAGGGAAACATGCTGGACTTAACACCCTCCTAATGAGCACTACAAAGGATCCAAGCTTCGTCTCTGGGGTTTTCAGGGGGGATATTACGCATGATACAGCGGGAGAAAACCGCTCAAGCATGTGTGTGCGCATCTGCATGTGCATCTGCGAGTCAACCTCATAAAGTGGAGGTGACCTTGGGACTTCTCCGTAACCGCGGAAACCTGTTTAATTGTCTCTCCATGGGATTCCGAAGTAGAGGAGAGTTGGAATTTGTTTCAAGGATAATCTTTTTGAAATGTTCTTCTGGAGGTCGGTGGGTGATCGGGGAGGTCCTCCGTGTGATTATCTAATGGGATCGCCCAGAAGCTCCTGCAGTAATGGCTTTCTAATGGAGTCATGGGGAGAAAAGTTTACAATTCACTTGCTACGACATAAAGATGCACATCGTTGTGTCGTTGAAAGACCACTGTGGTAACTATCAGGGTGGTCCTCCCACCACCCGTTTTTGACTGCCCATCAGAGATCAGGTTGCCCTTGGCAACAATGTAAAAAGGGTAGTTCAGACATCTGCCTCCACAGCCATGTCCTCCCAAGTCCTCAAAGGGAGACATTCTTCAGACACTGGTCTCCTCCGTTAGAAGTGATTGGCCGGCTGCACAGAGATGAGGAGACACTCCCTCCCGCCCCCTTCACACAACTACGTCTGTCACTTGTCATGGGAGTATGCGAGTGTATGCGTGTTAAAAATGTGCTTTCTCAAACACACACATTGGTGGGGGGAAATCTCTGCTCTTTCAAACAATGAAAATCTAATCATTTGGTGGATGTGGAGGATTTTTGTCCCATTCTATTTTTATTTTTCACCCAAACTGGACCTGAAGTCCTGTAATTTAGGCTTTCTTACCGTTTTGAGTCTGCACGTGCTCCAGTCACAAATTCACATCTTCAAAAAACAGTTCTTTATGTGTACGAAATGTATCATCGAGGACTCGCCAAAGTCTCTCGTCGAGGTTTGGCGATTAAATCAGGAGCCTCTTCAGTCAGAGCTCCGGAGAGAGAGAGCGTTCCGTATCCCGTGCTCAGTACATGTGCCGCTTATTCTGGAAGAGGAAACCAGGGCAAGAAAACCTGTGCATAAAAGGTTTGTTTTTCAAATACATCATGAACCTAGGATGAACCGAATACTTTTTTTAACTAAACAACCTACAAATTTGAAACTGACATGATGTCATACCCGTGAACACATCAATCCAAAGCGCGGCGCCTTAAATACACATTGATGGTTTATGCGGCGTAGCTCTGAAGGAGGATTCGTGGATAGCGGGCGGCGCATTGGAGAATCCAAAAAAACAAAAGTTAAAACTGTCTACACGGTGTCGTTGGGCCCAACCCTCCTTCCCCCTCACTGGATCACGCAACTTCACACTCGGATGGTGTCAAGCATGTAACATTTTTCTGTTTTTAGCCACCAACAAGCTCCACCGGAGCAGGTGACAAGGTCCCTTCTGGAAGTTATCCAAGCTTGTTGAGTACTCTGAGAAGCCGACCTTCAAAATAAAAGCAAGACATTGCTCTTGTAAATAAATAAATAGGAATCAGTTGAGATCCAATTGACCACATCCGCGGCCCCTCCTTTCCCTTCCAGTTTCATTTGCCTTTTCCTTCTGTTTGTCCTGAATATCATCGTGATATTGTGGTTGTGGAATAATGACTCCACGTCGCCTCATTGTTTTCATCGAGACTCGAGACATCGAGAGTCTGTCAGACTCCCCCGGAGACCAAACCACCTTAGTTCTTATTAAACGGCACCACATGCTGGAAACCATCCTTCTGACCACTTTATCTCTAAGCAGCTAAAGCATTAAAAAATGTGTGCACATGTGTATCGTGTAAATAAATATATAATATATATATATATATATATATATATATATATATATATGGGTACGATAGTTTCCGTTTTATTTTGAGAATTTGACTGCATTCCGCAGTAAAAGTAAAACATCTCTGCATATTGCAGCCCTGATCCCTCACATATTTAATTTGCCAGTAGTACATATTGACCAAGAGGCTTGCTGGAAGTGAACTATGAACATTTTATGTGACTAACCCGTTGATCTTGAAATGCAAGGAGGAATTCACCACTTCCACTCTATACCGACACGTTTTAAACTCTTGTGTTCATGGCAGAGCGAGAGAATGCATTGTTCTGTTGGGAAAGACTCTTGTGTAATGATCCCTATCCAGACATCCGAGGAAACGTTTGCTTCTGAAGTGGGCCAGTAAAATAATGACTCAGATGAATATAAAGTAATGGGACCTGAGAAGAGAGAGGCGAAGGCAAGACTCAAGATGAATGGCTGATAGTTTTGTTTTGATATTCATTATAAATTATAAATAGCCTGGACTCTTACCCTTTCTCTGCCTTCTACCTGTGCTGGGGTTTAGCTTTGTCTTTTAGCGGAGCGCTACGGTAAACTAACCGATTGACACATGCACCTTGAAATCGTGAATCTGACTCTGCAGAGTCAGATTCAGAGAAACTCTGCAAGTTGGGTTTGCTCGGGGACTCGAGTTTTTCCAGCAGAAGACTTCTTGTCACGCCAGTAACCATGGTGATATGAAATCTTGCTGTACAGACTATCGATCATTCTCCGGCCTGTCATCGTTATCATCTGAATAATCCCCCTCCCTTCAGGCGACTCCCACACGTCTCTCCCTTCCAGCTCGCAATCCGACTGCTGCCGTCGAACGTTCGGATCAATTTCTTTCTCTTTCTCTCTCGCTCATTTTCTCTCCCCTCCCCCCCCCCCCTCTCTCCCTCTCCCCCTCTTCCCTTCCAGACACTCCGTTCAGAGAAGGTCAGGAGCGAGACCTGAAGGAGGCCTTGAAGAGGACGGATCCCTCCATCCCGCTGGTGTTTGTCAGCGGGAACCACGACCTGGGCAACACCCCCACCCCCAGGACAGTGGAGCAGTACTGTAGCGCGTGGGGCAACGACTACTTCAGCTTCTGGGTGAGCAGAGAATTAGAAATCAGAATTGGACATCACGGTTTACGCTGGCAGGATTTTAGTGTGCACATACGCCGGCGTCTTCTTTGCTTAGCTCCACCCACTTGTAAACCTATTTTAGGCCGTGATCCCTCCCTCACTGAAAGGCGCTGCTCGCGTGCTCATTTTGCCGATGACGTCATGAGCTCGTGCATTTTTGAAATGACATGATTCATGTTGTTCGTCATCGTTGTGTGAGAAATGAATGAGCTGTAGGATACGTGTCCTCTCGTCTCAGGTGGGTGGAGTCCTCTGCCTGGTGCTGAACTCCCAGTTGTTCTACGACGCCTCGGCCTGCCCTCAGCTGAAGGACGCCCAGGAGACGTGGCTGGAGGAGCAGCTGAGCAGAGCCGCCTCCTCAACGGTAGACTGGCATCACTGACGGAGGACAATGTCTTCCTCTGAACCCAATCCGCTCACACGTGTCTCTGCTCAGGAGCCCAGACCCAAACACGTCCTGGTGTTCCAGCACATCCCTCTGTACCTGAAGAGCCCCGATGAGGAGGACGACTACTTCAACCTGCGCAAGGCCGCCCGTCAAAACCTGCTGGCTCGGTTCAAGAAGGCCGGTAGGACAGCAGGCCTCCTTTCCCCCCTTTTTTATTCCATCTGCTGCAGTTTCGATGCAGTCCGGCTCGCAGTAAATCCGTGTGCAACATTCTCTAACTACTCGGTCCTGTCCATCCAGATTTGTGCGTATCAATTCCCCTTTCACATTTTTTGAGTTAGAAGTCACCAAAAAGACGTCGTATTGTTTATGCAGCATTTGTAGTTTTTTTCTGTATTGATGGATTTAAGTCTCTGTGAAGTGGTCTTCAATTTTAGTTTTTAATACCTTGGAGAGGATTCATGTGTTATTAGCGTCTCGGGAGGAGCTCCTGGCGCACACGCACACACACACACACACACACCTCAGGGGTAATTTAATGAATTAATGCACTGGCTAGCTATGAGAATAATCATTTCCTAATCAAATCCATTGTTAGCGGCTTATAAGAGTCTGATACAAGGGTGTCTGGCCGGGAGAATCACAAGGACGATGCGTCTTCAAGAACACACACACACACACACACATTACACTGTGTCAGGCTACCTGGTCATGCGTTAAGGTGACTGTCTTGGTATTAATTTCATGTTCCAGCCATTATTCCGGCGTGTGTGTCACCACGTTGTTCTCCCGTTACAATCGATTGAAGATACAAAGGGCAGTCCGCGCACAGCGCGTTTACTCTTACACCCACATTGCAGTTCCCACGTGTCCTGCTGGACATGGCTGTTGATAATCGATGGCGGACGTCGCTGCTGTTTTGCAGCGTACACTTCGTTACTGCCTCGTGTTTGCCAGGCACATGTGTACAACGAGTACAATATGCGCTATGCGATTCAGTGCGTCGTGTCGCGTTTCCGCTCATCGCGTACGGGACGATGGGCTCCGTCGCTGGGAACGGAGAGTTTCACTGCCACTGTGTCGTTATCCTTCACTTGGGCGTGTTTGTAGGGATTTAAGATCATGGGAGATGAGATTGCGAGAATAACAATGAGACGTTTTGAAACGGGGCCCAGCTTTGTCACGTAAGTAGCTCTTGATTAGGGAGCTAATTGTAAAAGAAAAAACGTGGAGGCATGACCACAAGAACCCAACCAGTAGTTTCTGAATTATGCAGCCTTTGTCTCTTTGTTCTTTCTGCTCCGCACTCATTTCTCTTTCATGCTCCTTCTGCTCTCTCCTTATCCTCCGAGGAGTCCCTGTAACGCCTGAGCTGTGAATCTTCTCTGCAGTGATGGAGGCATGCTAGGCTGTAATCATGGGTGTGCTCAGGATGGAGCTGCTGCTGCACATTCGGACCAGATGTTAGGCAGGAAGCAATCAGGGATTTTTCAGCCTTGGTCACTTCGTGGATCTCCGAGGACAATTTGGAGCCAATTTCCTTTGGCTTTAATCAGAAAGTGTGGAAGCGAGGCGAAGGTACTCGCCCTGCGTCTCAAAGAATCGTGGCGTTTATAGTCCTATAAATGGACAGCACACACGCTGCACTGCTGCCGTCACGTCTGTGACGTGCTGACTTAACAGGTCAGTGACCAGCGCGGCCCTCTCTCGCTCTCTCGACCCCGACGCACCTCAAAGCATCTTACAAATCCAAACGTTACCAGGAGTGTAAACAACCTTATGTAAAACAAATTAGAACTTTGTGGATGGCTCTTGAAGTCATTGTTCCACTTAGACTTTCATTAAGTAAGCCGCTGAAAGGGATAAGACTCCATGTGTGTCCTGCTGGCTCTTACATAATATCCTTGGAAGACAAATGCAGGGGTATCAACAGCTGAAGGATTACGTTATTGAGTAGAAAATAATTTGGTTTCAAGGACCCTTAAAGAAACGCTGAAAAGCTCTTTGCGATACTTGAACAGTGCTCTTCTCTCAGGCATTTAACTTTTTTTTTTTTTTGTCCGTTCTTGTTGGAGCAAAAGCAAAAACAGCACGCCGGCAAGAGCAAATATGTGTAATTGGACAGCTTTCTTCATTCTTCTTCTACTATCAATCGTCATTAGTGGGTTGTGTTTGGTTCCCCGGCCGCCGCTGAGTTTCTGTCCGTTGACGTCCAGCAGCTGAGGGTCTGGCTCAGCATTTATGGGGTTTGTTGTGGCTGCTTCCTGCAGGCAGCCCCTCACGACTCCGGGGACGAACAGTGTGAAGGAAACAGAGAATATAGTCCCCCCCCCCTTGTCCTGCCTAAGGTATATTTCCATTTCATCCCTCCGTAATCCTTGTTTGTTTGGCTAATTATGTTTATTTCTCCGCATCGGTGCACTTTCCCCGTCTTTCTTTTTAAAGCCTAACACACAGTGAGTATCTTTATGTTATCTTGGTTTCCGCTCACGGAAAAGGTGCGACACCAATTAGTCTCCCTGTGGCTCACGAGAGCGAGCGGACCCACCCGGGGAACTCCTGACTGCATTCCAGTTCATCTCAGCTCGATGACCCCCCCAGGGAAACTAAAGTAAGAAGCTTTCCCTTTCTTAATTGCACAAGCAATTACTCCGCTTTGTGATCTGACAGTGATGTGGTTGATTTTGTGCACATGTAGCGTTCATTTATCATCTTTATAGGGGAAACTAAGCTCATTTTATAAGCAAAGGGGCTTAAACCCTCAGATAACTTCAGTCATTATTGGTCGCTTTCAAAACTATAATGAGAAGCAGTACAAACAGCCCGGAAGATGTTCTCTGCTCTTATCGTGGATACGTCTGTGCTACCTCGTCACTGTCGTATCCGTAATCGCTGTAAATAACGCTCTCCTTGCTCCTACCTATGGCAACTTTTCACCGCACGAGTGCGTCGCGCCGTTCGCCTGCTCGTTGCAGATGTTGAATTTAGGGAGACACTGATTTACGCACAGCCAGGATCTCCTTGAGAGAAGGTTGACTCACTGCTTTCCGAGAGTCGAGTAGAGAAGCTGAAATCCCAAAAGTGCTCTCTGCCCATCCTCTCCTCATAGGTGGAGTACTGTAATCACATTACTCTCCTCCTCCGAGGTGGATATTCTCCATTCAGGATTCTTTCAGCATACATACAAACAAGGCCAAACGAGCGCACACACACAGATACAAACGTCCATCTGCCTGCGAACGCTGTGTATAAAAAACCCACGATTGCAGCTGAGAAACTCTTTGGAATTCCCAACACTGCTAGCGGCTGTAGATTTGTACATACAGCAGCTAATTAGCGGCAAAGATAAGCCTCTCTCCCTCTCTCTCTTGCCGCTGGTTGTCTTTATCAGCAAGGGTCCTACTCTGTTCAAAAGTGAAGGCACATTTCTCAGCCACTGGGGACTTGATAAGAGGCCACGGTTAAGCCTTTAACCCCATTGTTTTAATGATGAGGCTGAATAAGGCTTTCGCTTACTATTCTCTGCCTTTTGTCTTTCTCTTTTTCTCCACACACGGTTAACGTCTCTCTGAGCTCATCCATCACCTCTCCATGCCGACTGCTGCAGTGGACGACACCCACGGAGCGATCCTCGGCGCTTTATGTTCATATGCCTTGTTTCTGCTTGATTGCGGCGCTTTTCTCCACCTCCGCAAGTTGAAAGTCATCAGGATGTGATGCAAATCTCCCATTGCATCGGTTTGTGTACTTACTATGCAGCAGAAAGACCCTTATCGGAGTTTTATATTGTATTTTTTGCTTTTGATTCATTAGCTCCCATCAGTTTGAATATCACAATATCTTTTAGGAGCTTTTAAAAGGGAAAGATTTTCAGGTTTTTCCAGGTTGACTCAATGCAAATTAATTACATTTGACTAAACAAACAAATGCAAAAATAGGCAAAAATAAGTTAATATTATGGTGTCAAATCCATAGTTTTGAAAAGTTTTATTCTTGAAATTTTAAATATTTGACCTATATTCAGACTAAAAATAAGTGTAGGAGGGGCGGCGGTTTTCACTTGCAGATTCTATATTTTCAGATTGATATATTCTCTTCCAACTCTTGGCTGACTTTTCCGGTTTCGGTCTTATGGCCGTGATCTGAAATAGGGGGCGTGGTATTGTCTAAAAGGGGCGTGAGTGACAGCATGAGAAGAGGGCTGTGGACCCGCCTCCACCACGTTGCCTTCAGGAAACTGCGAGAATTATGAATGATCACTTCCTATAAGCTATATTCAATGCTTGCTAATAAAATATTGGTGCCAGTCATAAAGTTCTGTTTAGTAAACAGTTTTACACCCTGCTTGGCACAATGAACTATGCCACATTACGCCGTTCATCAAGCGCACTTTAATATCTGACGTTTTAAACTTCCCCATAACACTGTGATTGCAGAAATATTATGATGATGATGTACCAGTGACATGATTTAATTCTGTGTCTATTCAAATAGCCCAGCAGCTGTATAAACATCTGTATGTAGTCAAGTCTTTTGTTTTCCTCCCCTTACTTTTTACATCATTGTTAAACATTTTGTGTTGTGATTCTGATCTAAAAGGGCACGTTTGCTCAAAAGAGCTGTGCTTTGTCTCGTAGTGGGGCTTCACATGGACCCTTAAAAGAATTTGAAGCACCTACTGTTTGAAAGGTACAATAGTTCAGTCTTTAAATGCTGTCTTGTAAGTTTCAGTTGATACAACTTCTAAAACTCCCTCAAAGATCCTCCTCCATCGCCCCCCCACCCCCCTCGCGTGTCCTTCTGTGATGAGCCGGGCCGAGACGTGGTTGACCTGCCTCCTTTTTGAGTGGAGCTGCTGCTCTTACAGCACTGTAATAGTTCACTTAATACTCCCCGTCCCCGGGTCGGCCCCCGCGGGGCTCAGTTCCATTGTTCCCCTCACTGCTGTCGTTCTTGTGACGGAATCACAAGGCCTTTCGCTGGGAGAATACGGGGCGATTAGGTAGCACGTTGGTACCAAATGGCCAAGAGGCATGTGCGCTCTCAGCGGGATATATTACATGCGGGCTCCTTTCATTCCCCTGCTCCCTTTGTAATTGGGCGCGTGGGTGCGCGTGTGTCTAACTGGAGGACGCGGGAAGGAGATGCTGCATTTTGACTGATGGCTGAGAGTGATTTACGGGGCTGCAGAGGCGCCTCGCCGCGCTGCATCATTTTGTATCTCTCTGTCATGCAAATTATCTACAGGCCCCATTTGGTGATGAATTATTTCCAAGACCCGCACTTCGGCGGGAGCGCGTGCACACCGCGCAGCGCGCTCCCGCCGAAGTGCCGATGACAGCTTTATTCTGAACTGCATCGAGCGCGGGGGGGAGGCGGGGGGTTGAGGGGGAACGGCTTCTTCTGGAGGTAATCCCTGATAGGCAGAGGTTTAGCGGCAGAGATAGGAACTTAGCTGGCAAATCCAATCTCGTGGCCTGCCAAATCAGTGACCAGGAGATGAAAGACGGGGGGGAGGGGAGGAGAGGGCACGTCGCTGGAGGGAGCACAAACATCAAACATGGTTTGATGGGTACCGACGTTTCTTTACTCCTTGTTTTTTATTCCTGTAATTTCCGCGGGCGGTATTAGCATTTGAATCGAACAGGTGTTTCGGGATATTCAGACACATCCAGCAATCAGGGGCAGCGTGACTCCAACGGCTGCAGCCCGAGAACATAAAGGACAGCGACATCGGAGAGGCCAATCGCTTCCTTTCTCTGCACTTTTTTATTTTGCAACTCCTGCCAGGATTCAATTTGACACTGGGTAATTTTCCTCCGTTAGCATTCAATATTTTTTCATCACTCTTGACTGCTTACTGTGGGTATTTTCGGAGCGCCCCCTCGGCCCCCCCGCCCTCCCTACCCCCACCTCCCACCTGTCACAGCAAAAGGCCAGTCCCCAGATGGGAATCTTTATCACAAAGGAGGACGACTGTTCCAAGGCAGACGAGTAAATGGGATTCCCGTAGAGACCGAGACCCGACACTCACCCTGTGCACGGTTATATGTTCCATTCTCCATACTGCTCGACGGGTTTGGGTGGGTAATGGCCAGAGCCGCGGCTCCACTTTGGATAATAAGGAGTGCTACTTCGATGGGAGTGAGGCGGAGTGAAATGGGCGCTGTGGGCGCTGGTTGTCACGCAGGCAGCGATGGTTTGCAGCTCAACGACTGTCGGATGGATTGTGATGTAAAATCAGAATCCACTTTTTTCAGCCAGGTGTACGTAGACATACCGGGAACTTGAGTCCGTTATTTCCTTGGCTCTTAACTACATACCCAGAAAAAGATAAATAACAACAAAGTAGAACAAAGGCATGCAAAAAGCAAAATAGATGTTGTGCTATCAGGGCTGGACTGTGCATGTAAACCACGCTGTGCTCAGGTGAGAGGCAGATGTCATGTGGGGCGAGGGAGAACTAAACGTGTTGGTGTGCGACCTCCTTAACGCACCAATGCAGTCGGCAGCTTCGTTCATCCCTCATCACTGACAGGGATCAATGGCAACGAACCAATAGTAAATATATTATGTCAAGTCTTAGGACCAATGCTGGAGTACTTGGGGGTTTCAAATTGTTTTTTGGGGCGTATTATTATTTATTTTGTGTATGTTTTTTGTTTGGTGCAGGCAATCTTACTGAATCTTATTGACTCATCCCCTCGCTTTAAAAAAAAAAGAAAAAGCTTTCCACAGTTATTTTCTGGCAGAGGACTTCAGAGGTCAGCTTCATCTTCTGTCGGCTTTGCAAAGTGCCTTTTTCAGCTGCTTTATTCTATTCTCTTTTTCTCATGTGTTTATCTTTTATTCATGCAGAAAATATTCTGGAGATTGAAACGTTTTTTCTTTCTCCAAACGGGCCACCTTTTTCATTTTCATTAAAACAGACAAGAGCCCAGGTGGAGTGGCCTGACTCCCAAAGCCCGCGTAATGACGGCGCTGTGGAAAGGGACGCGCTCTAATGAATTCAGGTCAGCGCGTTATCTCTGGCCTTCTGCTAAATTGTTTCTATGAAATCGGTTTCGCTCGGTAAGAGCCCGTTCATTCCCTCCACATACAATCGCCCGGTGGTTGAGTCCACTTCAGTCGTCGGCTGTGCTTCAGGAAGCAAAGGAAGCAGAGCTTGGCGGTGCCGAGCTGACAGGACCTTTGTGCGTCTGTGCAGAAAACCAGGCAGGCATCTGCTAATGCTGTATTCAAATAGAAGGGTTGTAGAAAATAATAAAAAGGTAATCCTTGCTGACCGATGTTTTAAACTATACCTTTTTTGTGGATTTTTTTTATAGATGGATGTTACTTTATAGTGTAAAAATGCCTTTTTTGCAGCAGTTTAATTGAAACAGCACCAGTCCAACACTTTGGGAAATGCTTGTGGAGAGTCGGATCGGAAGATTGATATACTGCTAATATGAAGCTAAGCTAAGCTTAGCATGAAGCTGCCTCTGTCCAAAGCTAACGAAGTCCACCGACCAGGACAGCAGGCCAATAAACACGTTTTATATCAATGAACTTCTAATCGGTTAAGGAGGAACATTACAATGCATCTCACTCGCGTAGCTCCTATTCAGGGAGTTTAAACCGGAGCAAAATGTACTAAAAAAACGTATATTTAGTGTGACTACCACAATTTGTCGTAGCCAGCTGCTCGTAGCTTCATAATTAGCAACCGGATATCAGGCTGCCATCGCTCTTCAAACGCAGTTTGTTCCCCAAATACTTAATTCATGTCGAGCGGCCCTCCATCTGTGAATGTTCTGAAAGTGCTGCACATTTTCTGACTTATTTCTTCCTATCGAAGGCTATAAGAAACAAACGCACCCCCTACACGGATGGCTCACAAACGTGTCACACGCATACGGGGGGGGGGGCTCCCTGGTGCTGCGTGGTGGTCTCGTGTGGCGACAGAACTCGTACGCGTTCGCACATGTACACATATGCGCACATACACGCTCCCACACAGCGTGACTAACCGTCGGCGTCTCTGCGAGTCTGAAAGGAGGTTAAGAAAGCAAAAACACATTTCAGCTTTTTCTTTTCCAAGTTAGTTGTCATTATTAATAATGCAGGATTGTTTCCTGTCTGATGTTTCTCTGCTATTGCTGATTTACAGTCTTCCTCCCACCACCTCATCGCTCTCCGAGGTGATGAAGATGTCAAAGCGCAGCAAGTCCAACATTTCCACCATCAGCGCCGTCGCTTCAGTCACCGGGTCCCCTCCAACTCGCAGGGTTTGAATGAGACGAGAGTGGGACGGATAAAACAACACGACCCAGTGTGGCCCACCGTGGAGGGTCTAATAGAGTCATACAGTACAATGAGCACATGCTTTCTGCCAGGGGCCATTTGTGGCCCTACATCTAGAAATAACATCAAGGGAACATATTGTTGACTAGACAATGTTGAGCTAGGAAAGTTATTCGGTCCCCTGCAGCAGCGGCAAGGTTACATGAAAGGCTCGCATTCCTGGCCTCACACGCACGCACACAAAGCCACTAGTGAAACGCGCCCGTGATGGTACAGCTGCAGGGGGGGTTCCCACAGCGTGCCCGCCCCCCCCGGGTTTGATTGTAAATGAATTACGCCCAGAAATGCACGCATGCCGGCCTAAACCATCAATTTCCATCATTGAAGGATTCATTATTTAATGGTCCGGCGTGTGCAGCCGCTGTCCTCTCATAGCACTGAATATTAATACACATTTAGGTCACATTTGTATTCCGGTGCTGTTTGATTATGCAGAGCGGCGGACCTGATAACTGGGGGCTATTTCACTGTGTCGACATCAAGTCGGTATCAGCGGCGTGTACTTTGGGTTGTTTCAGAGGGATATTCCTCTTCTTTGTGGCGTACATTTCTGGGACAGGACGACGTCTTTCTTGTGCACAGACTGCAATTTATCCTCCTTTGTTGCCAGCTTTTCATGACTTTCTCTCGAGACGAGGCAGCGAGCAGCAGGACTTCCATCTTCAGAAACACTTGCTGTTAAAATAGAGTGGCTCATATTCTGTGCTAAAGACCCATCACCTACACATTCATGCACATTGGAGCGCGCAAGCTCCCACGTAGGCAGCACACACGCATGTATTTTGTTATTTTACTTTAGCTGAATACCAACTATAACCTTTATTATGTCCATCTCACATTCACATTCATCTTAAAGCATAGAAACTGTAATAGCTCATCCAAGAACATGTTTACTGCTTGTTCAAAGGGAAAATTGGCCACAAATTACCAACCTGCTAGAAATTCAAATTGGTTCATACAAGTGGTACCTTCACACAGCAAAAACAAGTCAGTCAATTCGTCTGTAGTGACGGCCAAAGGTTTTCACAGTATGCTACGAGTGGAGGGCTCCAGAGTATACGCTCCACTTCATGTCCTTCATGTTCTTTCCTTATTCCTTCCTCGCCCTCATCTCTTATTTCCCTCCCACTTTTCCTCATTTCCGACTTTACTTTGTCTTCACCCCTATATTTCTTCCTCCCGTTGTTCCTGTCATCCACGCCTGTGTTCATGTCCTCCAGATACCTTTTGCTCTTCCTTGCTTTCCTTCCTCATCTCCTTCAGACTCAGAATGCTTATTCATTGTAACGTCCAGGTTTCGTGCGGCGACGATGACGGAGACGAAAAAACCAGGTCGCTAAAAAACAACAAATTTAAGCCGCCTTGTCTTCCGCATCTGACACCTGTCTCGTTGCCCCGCAGGGGTGAAAGCCGTGTTCTCCGGCCACTATCACCGAAACGCCGGCGGCTGCCACGACGGCCTGGACATGGTCGTGAGCTCGGCCATCGGGTGCCAGCTGGGCGAGGACACCCACGGCCTCAGGGTGGTGGTGGTGACCGCCGACGCCGTCGTCCACCGCTACCACAGCCTGGAGCAGCTGAGGGACGAGGGCGTGGCCGACGACCTGCGGAAGCTGCTGCAGGGATGAAGGCGGGAAAAGAGGGGGGCAGTTTGTAAATTGTTTGTTTTTTGTTTGTTTCATTCCTCGTAGTCAAGGTTTTTTGGAGAGTGGCGCGTTCGTGTCGGCAGATCTGATTGAGATATTACAAGTACTCCTTCATTCCTAGTAGATGTATGATTAGCTCTAATGTAATCCTTACGCCTCTGATCTCACCAGTGTTATTGAAGTGGTCCAATGGGAAGTGAAGGAAATGACTAAGATGCATCAGTGTAGAGAAGGAACAAATCCATCCATCCATCCGACTGGTGTGCACTGAGTGTTCTCCTCTTTCACGATTCAGCCGTTTTACTGTGTTCCTTGTCGTCTCTTGTCTGATGCCTCGTATCCTATGCAATATGTGTGTGTTGACGTCTTCATGTGGTGCGTCGTTGAGCTGACCTCTGATCAGCCTGATCTGTCTGTTTAAAGCCTTTGCAGGAGAGAGATGGTAACTGAGAAGACTTTTCTCACTATTTTCTGTCAAGCCGGAATAAAGCTATTATTAGTATTTCAGTATACGCTGGTTTGAGAGGTTGTTCTTTATGCATTTTAATTCAATTCTTTAATTCAGACTTTTCTGCTATTTTAAGAATAACGTCCACCCCGTCTTTTGCCACGTCACTAATACGTGAGTGAGGACACTCACGGGGGGCTGGTATCCGAGGAAGCGCTACTAAATACCCTGATTTCATGTGTGGGAGTCAAAGCCAGCGCTTGTAAAACATTAAGTTTAACATTAAGTAAACCTTTATAGATTTCATGTACGGAAAATCTCTTACTTGATCCTTTGTTGGACAGCAGACTTTATTCTTACCCATATCCATGATGGCGGACTAAACCCATCTAATGTGTTCAGAATGGCTGCTGTGAACTGGGTAAATACCATGAAGGAGGCCGGGCTCGTGTTGTTGTAGGACCTGGTGTCAGCCTGCTAATACCCAGTGATACTGACGTGATTAATGGGAGGAGGAGCGCGGCGCTTCCGGCCCGTTTAGTCATGGCTGAAACGACCTCTCAGCGTGTGCGGCCCACCAGCCGCGGGCTTACTTAGTAGCTCGCCGCTTTGAAATGGTCTTTTAAAATGGACATTTGTGTAACAAAACGACTTTGTCTGTGAGCCCTAAATGACTCTATTCAATTACGCTTCGTCTACACACACACACACACACACACACACACACACACACACACACACACACACACACACACACACCGACTCAGACCGTAAGAGTGCCGTCATGGCAACACATCTGTGTGTGTGAGCGCATGAGAGAAAGGGTACTTATAACCCAGCTGCGTGTGCGTCCGTGCTGGGCAGGTTACTGCGGGTGATTTACCATCAGCAACGCCATCGATGACCTCATCGCACACTGACGGATCCCGTCTCTCCTCCAAAGAGTCAGCGTGCGCTGGAGGGCGTCTGAGAGGGATGGATAATGAGCATGATGTGTGAAAGACGACTCAGTCCATCTCCTTCATTTCCTGTCTGAGAAGGAGCCTTATGTCCTTATCTATTTTTATATCCGCAAGGAGCTCAAGCACGCTGCTCTCCATCTCTTCTCCCGAGCTGAGTTTGTTTTGAGCACGGACGGGGAATCGGGGAACATCACACACTTTGGCTCGTTCCCTCGTCCAATTGTAATGAATCACCATGGTGGACAACTTGATTGTGACCTGATTTGTTGTATTTTTGTATAATAAATATACATTTTATCAAACGATTGCAGGGTGTTGACGGGTTTTTCATACTGTGTTCGCTGTTCTTGGCATTAGATTACAGGGAGACCTGCCAGAGGCTTCAAATGCTGGACTTGTATAAGATTCTTCCTGCATGAACACTCCTGTTCTGTTTCATTACATTCGGTTGCACTCAACCAGTTTCTCCGTCATGTCTTTTAGAAGTGCCATGTGCCAAGAATAGACCATAGACTAAAGAACCCAAACTTATCCCCCTCATCTTCATAGAGCCAGATAACCAGTTCAAACAAGCTCACTTTGGTTAATCCGTCTATTTTCAAGAAGTTCTGTTTCATCGAGGTTTGAGTGAGTCCGACCTCATTTCCGATGGTGAGGTTCAGCCAGGCTCCTTATCTGCGGCTTCCTCAGTGACCCCCGCCGGTCTCGTCACAATAGACTGTGCTTTTCTTGTTTTTGATCGATGACTTCTGGCATTTTTGCCCTTTTATTAGACAGCCGTTGCCCTGCTTTCCTGCGCCGCCCTCCATGACCGCGAGCGATCCCTGTTTTGGGCATCACATGTACACCCAACTTATATTCAAGATGAGTGTCGCTTGGTTTTAATATTTATGTGAGAGAGTCTGTATCTCATCCTCAGAATGCAGAAATACATGTCGCTTAAAACAAGAAAAACGCCTCATTGATTTTGCCTCCTTAATGTGTGATGATGATCCTCACAGCGACTAACGTTTCAAGCTCCAACTTTCCAACGTTCCATACAGAATAACATTTGGTACCGCCGGCGCCGCGGGACAAACGCACCGAGGACGCAGATGAGACGATGAAGAAGAACATAAACACCTTCATTTTGAGACTAAACCCAACTCTCACGCTGCATATTGTATTCACATTTTTTCTACACTTGAATCTGAGATCAGCGGACTCCCGCGCAGCCGCGAATAAGTGGCAGAGATTGAATGTACAAGTGATTGCTAACAGGACAAAAAAACTAAATTAAGAATTACTTACTAAATTAAGAAAAGCACATCAAAAATGTCTAATCTCTCACTTTACCTACCGGAGAAAATTAAGCTTTTTTTTTACTGCTTAGAAAGAACATGTTGGGCATTGCAGGCAAATAGTTGACACAGAAAAAATTCCTCACAGAAGTCAACTTTTCGGACGGCGGCCGTTTATTCTACAGGCAGGTAAAAGCTAGTCCCTGTTTATTGATCTTAAGTGCCGTTGCGGTTCCCCCGGTGCCCACAGACCTTCACATGAACACACTATACGCACAGATACAAGACACATGAATCATTCCGCTCTGTTATCGCCTGGATATGTGTTTTTTCACCAGTACGTGCAGGGGTGTCAGGTCATCCGTCACCTGCTTTTGAACATGCACGAGCGGCTTAGAATGATGCCTTGAGGGAATGTTCTCAACCAGAGACACGAAAAGGAGCTTGTTTCATCTTCGTCTGAGTGTTTTGGTTCCTAATGGAATCCAAGGAGATCTCATTACACGGTGGCTGGACCAATTTGTCCGTCAGATATTCGTGGCTGCGTGCTGTTAGTGTTTGAGAATACTTACAAGAAGCACTGTGGGTGAAGTTTAAAAGCAAAGAGCGCTTTGATGTAGTGCAATGTTCATCCAAAGTTAATCAAGGTTTTTCAACTTTGTCGTAAAGACGAGACATTAGAATGACGTCCTCCATTCCCATCGGTGGAATACAGAAGACTTTATCACACACACACACACACACACACACACACACCTTCTGCCTGGACTTTAATCGAGTCTGTAATTTAATCTGTAGTAAACTTTTCAACAAGGTAATTCAAAGAGCTTTTCATGTGAAAAGGGCACACAAAAGACATATTTTATGTTTATCAAATATAATGTTTACATATATACATACATCCATGTAGATATTCATAGTGATATATATATAGCGTTAGGGCCTAACCCAGCTATTTTCCTGTTTATAACCAGATCAGCCTTCAACATATATTGAATTCAAGTAAACCTCTTTACATAAGCTGATAATCAAGGAATTATGCCATTAAAAAAAAAGAAAATCTGTTTTGAAAGCAATTCTATGTTTGGGAATACATTTTGATTGGGTTCTCACTCTTTACAGCACAAATCTCACATTTATAGCAGAGCCCGTTACTGTTGAATTGTTAATGTGTTCCTGGTGTCCAAACATCTGCAGGCCACCGTCACAGTGTGCAATTAAAATGCCATTGTTGACAATCTGTTCCATCATCTGCATTGATTTTGGTGATTTCATGTTAAAAAGTAAAAACTGGGACAGTGGCAGCAACTGTGACTGTTAATGTCGATTCATGTGTTTTCATTGAGATGATCGCTGTGCACAAACATTGTTTTAATTAAAAAAACAGTTAGTCCTTCCTTGATATAACTTTGAAAAACGTTGATAGTGATCGTGTCTTATGTGACACACCCTGGATTTACATCCACTGAGTCAGGCCATTCATTTGTCTTCATACCAAGTATCACGTCTGTATTGCTCCCATTTAAGCAAATAAGCATAAAATGATTTGATCCAGTCAACTGAAACACATCTGAAGTTCTCCTGCCGCTTTGATATTCTATCTGGAGATTTATTTCAAATGTCAGCGCTCAAACACCCACTGAGATACACATCGCACAGGCTTTGAAAACTGCAGTTATTAAAACAATGTCATGACAAAGGGTCTTGCTCCTGGCAATAACAGATTTCGTTTGGGCTACTTTGGTGTGAGAGAAACAAGTTGTGAACACAGTTCTGACTTACAATCAGCTCAAAGTTCAATGTTATTTGTCATGGGGAGTTGTGCTTGTCAAAGAACAATCTCTGCTCTCTCATTTTAACTTGTTTTTATGCTCCACTATTTAACCTTTCACACCTGGAAGTCCCAATTGAGGTTCGCCGTTTTGTTAAATGTGCATGTGACAGCTGTGCGCCTGGTCACAATTCGACAACACCACCCTGAGAATACAGGTTCCTATGGTTTAAGAAAAAAAAAGAGCAGAGGTGAATTTCTAGTTTTAAACAATGTTCAGTTTTTATTTCCCGCTAAGTTTCACATTGGTTAAATAACAGGAGGTCTCAGTTTAAAAGGCTTTTATTACAAAATATACTCTCTATGCTAAAACTGATGTTGCTACACGGAGGTGTGGGAGTGAAGGGGAAAGGGGCCACCACCAGGTACCAGAGAGACAAAGTCACACACACACTGCAAAGCAAAAGACACAAATTAGAACACAAGTATAACACATGCTAAATAAACTAAGAATGAGGAAGCCCTCCACCTAGTGAGCCCCCACCTGTAAACCTGTGACCAGCCCACCTGGTATGAGGACCCCAAAGTAGGACTCACTCCAGTTGGTTTCCAAAAGAAAAAAGAAACTAAACTCGAACTTGACTGGGAAGAAAACAAGTTAACTAACAATCCATAATGAAAATACTAAATAAAACAAGGTAACCATAAGTACATCCACACATGGTGAGTGCTGCACAGATGTGGTGGCAGCTCTGCAGCTCGTCCCCTTTAGCGCTCGGTCCTCCACCCTGACTGGATGGAGTCGTTCCTGAGACCAGTGTGGAGCTGGGAAAGCCTCGGGCAAAACCTACATTTAAGGAGATCCAGGAAGTGATCCGGCCTCACCTGTTGGAAATCACTGATTAGGGTGGTGTGGCCAAACAGGTAGAGGAGGGAGGAGGAGCTCCACCCATCACATGGACATTGTCAAGCTTAAGCGCACTAAAGAACTGCTTCCTGTAATTAGTGATCCTCTTTATCCGCTGTCCAAAACAGCGATACCAAACACATCTGCTGAAGACTGCTGCTACCGAATGGACGTCTTGGTGTTGTCGTTTTCTCAACTTTGCTTCTCCGAATCCAAAATGCCAACAGTATCCACAGTAACCAATGAATGCTCTCACGCTGCGAGTATCTAACTTTAATTGGCTCTTAAAAAAATAATTACGAGTACATGCAGGCACACCGGGCCCGGCTCCAGCACCACCGCCCCTTCATATCTCCACGCGGCCCACAGGTGTTTGGAGGATGGGGGGGTAGTTGGCATATCCAGCCATGGCCTGACGTCAGGGTACCGCCCCTTCTGGTGGCGAGCCCGCTGACACAGCGAGCCATCTGGGCCACAGAGAGCCGGCAACAGGCCCACCCGTCCCCGGGCCCGGCCCCCCGGGGGGGGCCTCCAGCCAGCGAGACAGCCCGGGAGGGCGAAGCGCGTTTTGATGATTCCACCGCTCGGCTGGGTACAGAAATAGGCATGAGTCACTTTGTTTAACGCGATGGATGGATTTCCGCCCGGTAGTCTGACCAGTCACAGATGTGTCCCAACTGTTGCTTTAGGCCTGTAAATAATCCGTCATATTTTTATATAAATATGTGTCAGTGAATGTTTGGTCACATTCAATTAGCAAAGGATATCAAATAGCCATGCTTGATCTTTTCTTTTACGTTCACCAACACGCCGATCGTGGCCGACAATCACAACAATCAGTTGGACAACACGCAGGAGAGTTCGGCGCTTCGGCTGGATGAATCATGTGTGACAGAAAGGTGCCGCCCCGTAACTTATTGAGTTCACCGGGTGATAATTGAGAGGTGGGGACCGGGCGAGATGAGAAAAATTAAAATAATAATTGTTTTTTCCGCTTCAAAGTAGAAGCTTTCTTCTTCTCATTGGAAATGCAGAGTAAAAACGTTTTAGCTAAAAATGTCCCGCTCAAAGCAGCGAGCGGAGCGTCCCGGAGAGGAGCGCTGTTTAAACATTCACGACGTCGCGCTGCTCCGCTGTTTGAGACTCTTTCTGAGGCCGAAGACCATCAGCTTAGGAACTGTTACGTGTTTTGTGCTGATGGGAGAATTCTGCTGCTGAGCGTGTTAGCATGTTAGCATGCTGACGTTGACCTTGAGGCGCCGCTCCGGCTACACACACACACAGCCTTGCAAAGCGGCTGGCGTGATCCTTGAGTGTCCTTGGAGGAGGACAAGTCTCCTTAGAATGT